TTTTTATATAAATTAATTATAAAATGATATATTAATTATATTTTTAATTTATATTTTAAAAGCACATGCTAAAAAATTATTATAAAAATATTGTATTTTTTTCCTTCAAGAAATGTACTGATCATTTCAATTTTCTTTTGTTTAGTAATTATTTTAGAATAATGAATTGTTTTGTATTACAAGGATTTAAACCATTTATATTAACTGCATCTGACCTTTCCGTGTCAACTGGTACCCTATCAGTTTGAGGTGTATTCCCTCTCTTTTCTCTTATGAGCAAGTTTCGAGCTCATCTCTTAACAACTTGTTAAAAAAAAAAACCATTGATATTAACCTTAAATCAAAAATTTGTTAAGTGTCTATCAACTTGCCAAACTTGGTTTTGTACGGTCATGTTTTGGTATCAATATCCAAGAGAAGGTGGGTAATCTCTTGTTTCTTCTTGTAAAAATGTCGTACTTTTGTTTGATGTATCATCGTTTTTTATTTTTATTTTTTTTAACATGAGAAATTTGAAGGAAGAAGAAATATTTTACAAAGGTCTTAGCATTGATAAAATTACACTCTATTCAAAATAACTAATGATTAAGAGATTCTATTTGGTTTGTTGAGTAATGTTGTAATTATGGTTATTTTTTATAGTATTGATAGCCAAAAGTTTTATACTAAAATAACGGTTAAAAATTTAAGTAGTTTAATAAGTTAAGGTGTTTAAGAGTTAAATTATTAATTAATTAAATAGTTTATAATTTTGTATTAAAAATAAAAAACTTTCACCTTGAATCACATATATAAAGATGTATGAATTAAAAATTATTTTTTTATCATACTACTCAAAATTTAAAAAAAGTTTAAATTCAAATCCTATAGACCACCAAATAGAAATATTGGAAAATGAAAGAAAATGAGAAAGGAGAGAGGATGGAGTATTGGGCCTGATGAGAATGGATCGGTCCAAAACTAATAACCACTCCATTGTCCATTGTCGAAGGATATAGGTTAAACCCCAATTTGGTCCTTCAACTATTGTACATACCCTTGATTTGGTTCCTAAACTAAAAAAATCTCTAATTTAATCTTTGAGGTTTCCAAATTTGACCTTAAGTTGGTTTTTTTTACAAAAATAATTGATGTGTCTCATTACTAACATGACACATAACCGTTAAATAATGGTTTTTTGTCATTAAATGAAAGATACATTAATTACTTTTTAACAAAAAGATATATGTCAAATTCCAATTTGGTTTCACAATTATTGTACAGACTCTTAATTTGGTTCTTAAATGAAAAAAAAAATCTCTAATTTAATCCCTAAAGTTTTTATATTTGACCCTAATTTGGTTTTTTATACGAAAATAATTGATATGATTCGTTACTAACGTTATATATGACAATTAAATAATGATTTTTTGCCATTAAATAATGGATATATCAATTTTTTTAACAAAAGAACCAACTTGGAGTCAAATTTAAAAACTTTAAGAACTAAAAAAGATTTTTTTTAATTTAGGGATCAAACTTAAGATCTATATAATAGTTGAAAAACCAAATTAAAGATTTGATTAGGGATATAATCCTATGTGTTCGTATTTAATAAATTCTTATCTGTGGGGTACTCATGTACCATTGATCTTAATTTTATTTAACAATAACACTCCACAACAGTAGTGAAGGTTAAAATATCAATTTGCTTCCTTAATTATCATATTTATATTGAAATTATTCTTAAAATTTAAAAAGTATTAAAATTATTTCTAAACTTTAATTTTTAGTATCAAAATAGTCATTTTGTTAATAAAAATGTCACGTGACTTGTTATCTTATTACAAAATCATTTTTTTTAAATATTAATGACATGTAAAATCAAATAATCATATTTTGTTATTATGACATATTTATATATATCACATTAACATGTAATCAAAATTAAATGACTAAATTAGTACTTTTAATTAAAGATGAAGGATTACGTTTGTATTTATCTCCAAAATTTAAGGACTAAGTTGATATTGAATTAAAGTTTAGGAACTATTTTGATAGTGAATATTAAAGTTTAGGGACAAGTTTGGTATTGTTTGAAGTTTGAGGACAATTTTGATATAAATTTGAAAGTTTAGGGACCCAATTGGTATTTTAACCTTCTATTTTTCATCCATCTCCCTCGCCTTCTAAAACCCTCAACACATTCGTAAAAACCCCCAACACCTCCGGCAATTTCTTTTGCCTCTGTACATAACCGCCGATCAGTCTCAGGCATGGCTTCCGTCGCCCTCCGAAGTGCTAACTCTAAGCGCATCTTCTCACCCTCTTCCTCAATTTACTGGTGCTGTCGCGGCTCCATCTCTTCTCATATCTCAGTCGCTGATTCTCTCTCCGAGAATGGGTCTGCTTTTGCTCTCGCTAACCCCTGGTGGAGGTCCATGGCCACCTTTACTCGCACGTGAGTTCCCACTTCGATTTTGGTTGTTAGTTTTGGAAATGATGTGTTGGTTTTGCTATTTCATTCCGATGTGCCTTAAAAACTACTGTAATTAATGACTTTGTAGCTCGGTTGTTGGAAACGTTCTTCCCTTTTTCTAGTTTTCTATGGTGGGAAGGGACTTATTTGAGATATGGAAAACAAATGGTGAAAAGAAGGCATTTGTGAAGTAGTTTTTGCTTTGCTGGGATAAAATTGAAAGCAAAAAGGGTTGTGATTTGAGACTTCTTTTTCTGTTTGAATCTATTTCTCATTTTTATGATGTTTTTGTCCCTTCCAGAAAGCCACACGTGAATGTTGGAACAATTGGACATGTTGATCATGGAAAGACTACCCTAACTGCAGCAATCACAAAGGTTTGCTTGTTAAAGCCTTTGATTGTCTTTGAATTATTAATTATTAGGTGTTTTTAATATGTTCATTGGCGAATTATAATTCTGACTTTTTACTTGTAGTATAAACATGGCAACTTTGATTTTTGTACACAGGTACTGGCAGAGGAAGGAAAAGCTAAGGCGGTTGCCTTTGATGAGATTGACAAGGCCCCTGAGGAGAAAAAGAGAGGAATTACAATTGCAACGGTTGGTTCATTATTGTGTTAGTCATGCTGTGCTTGGTAGTTATGTGGTAGTTTTATATGGTGTACAGGTTTAATGTGGTTCTTTCTATTTTTTGCCAACTAATCTTGGGAACTTGACTTGATACCGCAGGCTCATGTGGAGTATGAGACAGCTAAGCGTCATTATGCTCACGTGGACTGCCCAGGACATGCAGATTATGTTAAAGTAATTTTATCTTGTAAAATCACATAAGCTTTTAGAGTTGTCCTGTTGCGTAACTGATTCCTACCTTTACAAAATGATAGAAATGTTGCAAAGAGAGGATGGTTGCTAGTGTTAACAAGCTAGATTTATGTTGAAGGTGTATAATGGTGAACTAAAGCTTTCATGGGAAAAATGTAGATTTCACTTACTAGTTGAGTTGAAATTGTGGATACCTCTTTTTGGCAACTTAAATTTTCTTAAAGAAGTTTGTGATTTGGATTCAAGGGCAACTTTTCAATTAAAAACCTATAAGATAATATGAATTTGAGTTTATAAAAAAATTGTTTATTTGGATTTTTGTCAAAATTGATATTGGGTCTATTGACATATGATGCATCTTCTAGTCACATTTTTCACTTCCATGCCTCCTTGAAAATTTTCTTATTTTGAAATTTGAGTGTCTCACAACCAGAATGAGAATTCTCACATACTCTACTCTGATGAACTCATCTAATGACTTTATTCTGTCTATAGAACATGATTACTGGAGCTGCCCAAATGGATGGTGGTATCCTGGTGGTATCTGCATCTGATGGACCCATGCCACAGACAAAGGAACACATTCTGCTTGCACGACAGGTGGATATCCTGCTCTGCTAGGAGTTGTTTAAAGTTCATCTAGTTTGCTGTTGGTGATGCTGGTAGACTAATATAATATAATCAAATTTTGATCTTGTTATTTTTATCCAGGTCGGTGTGCCATCGCTAGTATGTTTCCTGAACAAAGTTGATACAGTTTCTGATCCAGAGCTTTTGGAACTTGTGGAAATGGAACTGCGTGGTAGGTGGCCTTTTAATCACTGTTTTTGGTTGGATTTTTTTCGTTTATGGTGTTCTATAACTTCATTTGAACTTATCTGTCTGAGCTTACATTTCTGGCAGAACTTCTCAGCTTCTACAAGTTTCCTGGCGATGAAATACCTATTATTAGGGGTTCAGCTTTATCAGCTTTAGAGGGCACCAATGATGAAATAGGGAGACAGGCTATTTTAAAGCTAATGGAGTCTGTGGATCAATATATTCCTGACCCAGTGCGGCAGCTTGACAAGCCTTTCCTCATGCCAATTGAAGATGTTTTCTCAATTCAGGTAGAGAACTCATTCTTTTTTCTTTTTTTTCTTTCTTTTTTAGCTGTGTGTTTCTAGAACTGAGATTGCCTACAAGAAATACCATTTTAGCAGGGTCTCCTCATTTTTAGTTATCTTTAATCTGCTGCAATTTCGAAAAGGATTGCTTTAAACACTTAAAAATGCATCTTTAATGTCCAGTCTTTAAAGTGAATTTTGATAAGCACATAATAATGGTATGGTTGAGTGACTAGTTGTTGCTGCAATTGCATTGTCATTACTGCTGTAGCCATTATTTAACATCTTTTTTTTTTTTTTGTACTTTATATGTGCTTATACAATGAACTTCTTCATTTAGATTCTTAGAATGTGATGTGATCTAGTGATTGTGAGTTGAACTTCTAATTTCTCCTGTTTTTTTCTAAGGTAGTTTTACTTCCTGTATGTTTGTAAATTCCTCCTTGTTGCATGAGAGGCACATGTTTTAGAGTTCATTGCCCATGTTTTAGAGTTCATTGCCCATGTAACTCTTAACAATGTCTGTTGATGTGTTGAAGGGGCGTGGAACTGTTGCAACTGGCCGTGTTGAACAAGGGACCATTAAAGTTGGTGAAGAAGTCGAGATTTTGGGATTAATGCAGGTATGTGGGTAAAATGATTTTGATATGGTTATTTTTGCTACTAAATTCATCATCTGTGTATTATCATAATTTCTTGGGGTGATGAACCACTCAACAGTTAATATTCTAAATAATACATCCTTTAAGTAGTTAGATGAAAATTACACTTGATATTATTGCAATCAAGCATCAAAACTGTATTTGGTTTTGTTCTAATCTAAGCTTTATTTTGGCAGGGTACACCTTTGAAAACTACTGTCACTGGTGTTGAAATGTTTAAGAAAATGTTGGATCAAGGAATAGTAAGTAACTATATGCCTCCTTTTAACCTGCTGTGGTTGGCCAAATGGCCACATGTGCCACCCTTGGGTGGAGCCTTGCTGGTGCCACTGGGGACTAGTTAGTCTAGAAGGTCCAGATACCCATGTTATCCAAGTAAATTAATACTTTTGCTACCAAGGCTTTTCTGCATCTATTGAATTGTATTAATGGGCTCGTAATTCTACTAGGCTGGTGACAATGTTGGACTTCTTCTTCGTGGTCTAAAGCGAGACGATATACAACGTGGAATGGTAAGTGGTGAAAACCAATCCCTAGTTGGCTACTTGTACTTGAATCTGTTGCAACTTCTTAAAACATTTGAAAATTATTTTAATATGCTTATCCAAGTTTTGAGTTCATATTTGCTTTTATTGCCTAATACCTTAACAAGCAAAGCATTTTAGCTTTTTGGAAGAAAAAATTAAGGTACATTTTGTTTTTGTGTTATGCTGTTACTTGTCTAACTTGCATGAAATCTGACAGCATATGACAAAACATCTAAATCTTCTAATATATAGGTAATTGCCAAGCCTGGATCTTTGAAGACATACAAGAGGTTTGAGGCAGAAACTTATGTCCTCACAAAGGATGAAGGTGGACGGCATACAGCATTTGCCTCAAACTACAGACCCCAGTTCTACATGAGGACTGCAGATATTACTGGAAAAGTTGAATTGCCGGAAAATGTAAAGATGGTTATGCCTGGGGATAATGTTACTGCAACTTTTGAGTTGATCCAACCTGTTCCTCTTGAAGCAGGTACAGTGCCATCCTTGTGACTTATCCCATGTTCTCATTTGCATTAAATTTATTATCTGGTATTTTGGTGCAAAGCAGATTTTATAGTTTCATGCACGTACCAATGACTAAATATGATCACTTTTTCAAGAGTGTTGATGTCAAACATATCAATCCATGCGGTAAATTAATAGGGGTGTTACTGTTATTACTGGAAAGATTCCATTTCAGCTTGATAAAGTTCAGTTTGATAAATCAGTTTATACTTGATTTCTTTAACTACCATTCCAGTTTACCTATTTTCTCTACCAAGATGAAACTCCACTGTATTATTCCTTTGATATTTAAAAGCTCTGTAGTGCAGAAAATACCTATTTAAAATTCTCATACATTGCTTCTTGGTGGCGTGACAGGACAAAGATTTGCCTTGAGGGAGGGAGGTAGAACAGTTGGTGCTGGTGTAGTATCAAAAGTACTTAGCTGAGAAGCTGCAAGTGCCAGATCCGTTGTTAATGCGTAAAGAACCGCAAACAGGGAGGATCTCTCATGGTCTGCATCTGCTGCAACATTTGTATTAGGAACTACAAGAGATTGTTAGTCTGGAAAGCTTATCATCAGCTTTTTGCCAAAATTTTTTTTAACAATTTTTTGTCAAACAGAGTTCTTCTTTCAACATCCATTTAACTTGGAATAATAATCACGGTTGAACAGGTGACAAGGTACAATGCTACGTGATAACCAGTCATCCTTGTTATTAATTATTAAGAGTAATAAAATCCTCTTGCATGCGAGACTCAACACTCATCTTACATAGATCATTATCATTCATTGTT